GCTGGAAGTCTTGGTGGGAGGGTGAGACACTGCAGGAGGCACCTCAGCCCCGTCTTCCCCAACCCCCTCTCTGTTCTCCCATCCACAAATTCTGTTTTGCTATTATTACCTTTCCTTGTGTCGCAGACAGTAGATGTGATTAAGAACTCAGGTCTGGAGAGACGGCCCAGCGATTAAGAGCACTGGCTGCTCCTACAGAGGACCTGGGTTCAATACCTAGTACCCACATGGCAGCTAACAACTATCTCACCTCAAGTCCCAGGGGATCCAACACCCTCTTGTGACTTCCTCTGGCAACTGCACAACGTGGATGCACTTGCGTACATGCAGGCCATACACTCATACACACAATAAATAAAATAGCACATACAGGAACTCAGACTGTAAAATTGAAACCACAAAGGACAAGTCGAGCCCTCGAGTTGCAAAAGCAAGAGGCTTTTATTTTACACAGGTACCTGTGGGCACAGCTCCTGACAAAGGGAGAAGCGCGCCCCAGGTCTGGGGTTTGGGGTCTTTATAGGGCAGAAGCAGTTTACAGAAGCAGAAGCGTGGTTATTGGTTAGTTTAAACTATTACAAAATGCTATAGGGAGAGCGGGGGGGCTTACTTATCATTAAGCCAGATGTTTCAACCATAAAACTTACTTATCAGTGAGTTGGAGATGTCTCAGCCATGAAACTCACTAATTAGAGAGTTGGCCATGAAGCTTACTTATCGGCAAGTTGGAATTCTTGACCAGCACATGACCTGCCTGAGACGTGACTTGTCTGAGAGGCTTCATGGCTCCTGACTTTTATATTTTTCAATGTCATTGTGGTAAAGAATAGTTTCCAGCTGCTAAATTAACTTTCAATCATAATCTCAAATACATTTGTAAGATGTACATACTTTCTCAGGGTATATTTACATCAGTGGCTCCAGTGGCTCATCTCCTTGTGAGGTAGTTAAGGCAAGCTCAAATGTAGTGCCCTGTTCTAGGACTACAACTGTCTGTGAGTCTACAGTTTAGAATAATGCCCAGTTTTCTAAGACTTATCAGTAATCTCCCCTTTTTAACTCCAAACACTGGATCAGGATGGATGTAGGACTGAGGTTTCCATTGTAAATCAGAGAGAGAAGAAGCACTGACCGAGGGTCTGCTTTGAGGTCCTGACACTAACTCTTCATAACCATGTCATGAAGGGCATATTAACCTGGCCTGGCCAAACCTCACTTATCTCCATTGTAAAATCAAAATTAATTTTATAAAAAGTATGTGCCTTACAGGCCTAAGACTATCATATCAGGTATGACTTTTTTTAATGGTTTTTTGAGACAGGGTCTCTCTATAGCCCCAGCTGGCCTGGATTCGCTATGGAGACCAGGTTGGCCTCAAACGCACAGAGATCCGCCTGCCTCTGCCTCCTGCGTGCTGGGATTAAAGGCGTGAGCCACCATGGTATAACTTTTGAGTGTGAATTTTTAACCAATTAAGGGCTGTCCAAAGGCTCGTTTTCATGAGTAATATAAGGCTCAGTTTCAGTTTGGGGCCATTTGTCTTTATCTAAAACATCATTCTTTAAGTAAGTTCAAGGAAGAAAAATCATCTTTGGCTGAAATATTTTAAAAACATTTTATTCATTTATTGTATGCATGTGTGTATGTGTGGGGGCACGCACATGTAACAGCACGTGTGTGGAGGTCAGAGGACAATTTGTGGGAGTCAGCTCTCCCCTTCCACCTTGTGTGTCCCAGGGATTGAACTTGCGTTGTCATCAGGCTTGGCAGCAGGAACATTTACTTTGTGAATATGGTGTTTCTTGTGTTCTTCTAATGACTTTTTTGGTTTTGGTCTTTGGTTTTGTTGTTGTTGTTTGTTTTTCTGAGACAGGGTCTCCCTTTAGCCCCAACTGGACTGGAATTTTATATGTAGGCCAGGCTGGCCTCTGTCTCACAGAGATCCGTCTGCCTCTGCCTCCCAAGTGCTGAGATCAAAGGTGTGCGCCACCACACCCAGCTATAATCACTTATATTTAAAAATATAGTTTAGAATAAGTATCCGTCTCTTCCTGAGACTTCATACACTTCAGGTAAATTGAAGTGATATCTTTAGCTTAGATTTAATTCCAGGTCTGTATTATTATTTTATCTGCAGACACAAGTTTGGTTAAAAATGTTCACTTTGAAACCACTACAACTCTTTTTTCTACCAGGTAATGTTGTGAATGGAACAATTGGCAAACAGATGGTGGACATGCTGGTGGAGTCTTCCAACAATGTAGAGATGATTCTCAAGTTCTTCGACATGTTCCTGAAACTAAAGGACATGACATCCTCTGACATATTTAAAGAGTATGACCCTGATGGCAAAGGGGTCATTTCCAAGCGGGACTTCCACAAAGCCATGGAGAGTCACAAGCACTGTACCCAGTCAGAGACTGAGTTTCTGCTGTCTTGTGTGGAGACCGATGAAAACGAAACACTGGACTACGAAGAGTTCGTCAAGCGGTTCCATGAGCCAGCAAAGGACATCGGCTTCAACGTCGCTGTCCTGCTGACCAACCTCTCCGAGCACATGCCCAATGACACGCGGCTGCAGACCTTCCTGGAACTAGCGGAGAGCGTGCTCAACTACTTCCAGCCCTTCCTGGGCCGCATCGAGATCATGGGCAGCGCCAAGCGCATCGAGAGGGTCTATTTTGAGATCAGCGAGTCTAGCCGAACCCAGTGGGAGAAGCCACAGGTCAAGGAATCCAAGAGGCAGTTTATATTCGACGTGGTCAATGAGGGAGGCGAGAAGGAGAAGATGGAGCTGTTTGTGAACTTCTGCGAAGACACCATCTTCGAGATGCAGCTGGCCGCTCAGATCTCAGAGTCAGATCTGAACGAGAGGTCAGCCAGCAAAGAGGACAGCGAGGAGAGGCCGGAACAGCAGGTGCCCAGGATGGGCTTCTTCTCCCTCTTCACTGTGCAGTCGGCCCTGTCCACGCTCAGGTACAACCTCCTGACACTGGTGCGGATGCTCAGCTTGAAGAGCCTGAAGAAGCAGATGAAGAGGCTGAAGAAGATGACGGTGAAGGACATGCTGGCCACATGCTTCTCGTCCTACTGGAGCGTGCTCCTCATCCTGGTGCACTTCGTGGCCAGCGTCTGCAGGGGCTTTGCACGCATTGTCTGCAGCCTGCTGCTGGGGGCCAGCCTGGTGGAAGGTGCTAAGAAGATCAAGGTGGCAGAGCTTCTCGCCAACATGCCGGACCCCACTCAAGACGAGGTCCGGGGAGATGAAGAGGAAGGAGAGAGAAAACCCTCAGAGACTGCCTTGCCCTCTGAAGACCTGACAGACTTAAAAGAACTCACAGAGGAAAGCGACCTCCTGTCGGACATATTTGGCTTGGATCTGAAGCGGGAAGGCGGGCAGTACAAACTCACTCCTCACAATCCGAATGCTGGCCTCAGCGACCTCATGTCCAACCCAGTCCCCGTCCCTGAGGTGCCAGAAAAATTTCAGGTAATTTATCTCTAAGTCATCACAGCGCTCTCTCTGTCTCTGTCTCTGTCTGTCTCTGTCTCTGTCTCTGTCTCCCTCTCTGTCTCTCTCTCTCTGTCTCTCTCTCTGTCTCTGTCTCTCTGTCTGTCTCTGTCTCTCTGTCTGTCTCTGTCTCCCTCTCTGTCTCTCTGTCTCTCTCACTCTGTCTCTCTCTCTCTCTCTCTCTCTCTCTGGTCTTCAGGTAGATAGAACAAATGAAAGTTGGCCCAGCGTTTATGTTGGAGACGCTGGTGTTGAACTACAAGACTTGAATTATTAACAACAAAAAGACTTTGGGGAAGACAAACCTAGGTTTGTTAGCACTCTGTAAGAATTATTATCATTACACCGGGCGTGGTGGTGCACGCCTTTAATCCCAGCACTCGGGAGGCACAGGCAGGCAGATCTCTGTGAGTTCAAGGCCAGCCTGGTCTACATAGTGAGTTCCAGGCCAGCTGGGGCTACAGGGA